TGCCCCCCCCCCCCATTTCAGCCCAGAGGAGAGACCAGGCTGTGGGGAATCGCTACCATGCTCAGGAGCTCCCCAAAACTGAGCCACCCCTTTCCCGGAGCCCCAGCTGGTGAGTTCCGTCAAGGGGATGTGTGCGAACATGCACTGATGAAGTCGCTCTCATCAATGAGTTATTTCCTCCCGGTCCTTTTAATACACAATAAATCATCCTGCCTCATGTTGGCGTAGGTCAGATTACTTTCCTTAAAACATCGCTTCCTCGATCCTCCCTGTTCTGAGCTAAAATTAGATTCTTTTCATCTGAGGGTTTTGATTGGGGTTTTTTTGTTTTTTGTTGTGTTTTTTTTTTCTTAAAGAAATGGGTGGAAATCCTGCCAGCCAGAACCGAAACAGCCGAGCACCAGGGATTGCCCCATCTCCATCAGCTCCCTGCAGCATCACTACTGAAAGGAACCCCCTGGGTTGATAAAGACCAGCCCCAGGGGCCACCTTTGCTTCCCTCCAGCCCAGGACAAATCGGGAGGCTAGAAAAAGCCACTTATTTAAGGAGAGAAAGGGCAGGGCAGGACAGGCACAGGGAAATTTCTGCACTGGAAAGACCCACGTTGCAAGGATGAGCACAGGAAGGCTTTCCCGTGCAACTCCTCTCCGTCCCGTCCATCCTCCCCAACCCCGTCCCACACTCGCCCCCGGTTATCCGGCAGTTTCTCACAGGATGGGGGCAAGATGCCGCAGCGATGTACCGCTTGCCGGCTCCCCGTGGCGTGCCAGCCAGCTGCTCCCCACCCGGAGAAGCTGCCGGAGAGGCTGGGGCCAGAGGGGGAACAAAGCCGGTGGGTTCCTCATCCGCATCCCCGGCTAAACCACGGCTCCCCAACACGCAGGGGATGGCAGGAGCTCGGTGGGTGGAATGGGACCACGCACCAGGCAGGGGCACAGGGCAAGCAAACGCAGGCAGGTTTTGCAGGATGAGCCGTGATGAGCTTCATCTTCCCAAAACCTGGCTGCACCGCGCCATGCCTG